TCATTTAAAATGAGGTAGCTGGTACAACAGTGAATGTTTTAAGTGTCACTTTGGAAGTAGCATAAATCGCAGCCCTTAAAACACTGGGGGCACTGGGAGAAGAGCTCTGGCCTGTGCCACATCGCCTTCTCTGTGTCCGAAGCAGCAAAGGATTTGACTTCAACCAGGGGTGTGTGTGTGTGGCTCTTTACAAAGTCAGGTTCCAGGGTGAAGCCTTGGTCATAAGGAAAAAGTCTCTGAAATCAGAGCCAGGTCAGGGAAACCACAGGAGAACCAGAGAGAAGGAGCTGAGAACAGACCAGGGACCCGAGTTTAAGGTAGGACTGTACCCCGACCTCCATAACAGCTCAGCAAGAAGCGAATCAAAGTTCATTCATTTTCCACGCTGCGAACTCACCCTGCTCCAGCTGCAAGAAGCCACAAGATGATCAACACAGATTCCACACTTTCCTTAATACTCGTTTCCACTTTAATTAGTATTTTGGGTTAATTTATATTGAGCAAATCGAACCTATGTCTTTTATAAAGGTTTAAGTACAAACATATCAATGTTTTCAGTGTTCTGGCTGGACTTTTTAGGTGAAATCAGCCTCGTCCAGAAGTAAGACCATTCACGAGGGGACTCCAAAATGAAAAGTATGACTGGAAAGCATGTCAGCTGCCTTGCCCACATGGACGTTTTTAGGTATACAGTCTTTATTATTTGCAGATCCCTTATGGGTGGATTCACCTACTTGCTTTTAAAATTTATTGGTTCCCCGCAAAATCAACACTTGTGGACAGGGGCAGAGGGGCAAGAAATTTGAGTTGCTGAATGCATTTCAGCTCAGACTGTAAAGGAGTATCATTTTCAGTCTATTTAGTGCAGGGTTTTTTTAGCATTTTTGTACTTTTGGCTGGTGATTTCACTGTTGAAATGGCCCCAAGCAGAGTGGGAAAGAGCTGTCTAGTGTGCTAAGTGCAGGAAGGCTGGGCTGTGCCCTACGGAGAAGCGTCCTTCAGGAGTGAGTTTTTTAGGGCTGTTGGCCATAAGTTCAATGTTAACGAACCAACAATATATACCCATAAGGTGTCTTTAAACAAACACATACTGAACAAGGTTATGCAGTGATGGGTTGACAAAGACCGGTGGCTGGCAGGCACCTGCCCCTATCTGTCCCTTAGGAGCCATGATTCAATATTCACTAATTCAAGGTTCGCGATGACTTTGTACAACATAATTGCCACGAGTAACAAGAATCAACTGTATTTTTTTTTTTTTTTTTTTTTTTTGCGGTACGCGAGCCTCTCACTGCTGTGGCCTCTCCCGCTGCGGAGCACAGGCTCCGGACGCGCAGGCTCAGCGGCCATGGCTCACGGGCCCACCCGCTCTGCGGCATGTGGGATCTTCCCGGACCGGGGCGCGCACCCGCGTCCCCTGCATCTGCAGGCAGACTCTCAACCACTGTGCCACCAGGGAAGCCCTCAACTGTATTTTTGAATGTTATCTAACAAAAACATGTGCTTTCTTTTCTTTTTCAATTACAAGTTTTTCCATAATTTTAACGCAAATTGACATGATGAAGACAACGGCCAGTTGTTTTCTCCAATCACCTGTTACCTGTTGGGATCTGCTGGATTTGGGGAATTTGAAGAATGAGAATGGATTTTTGTTCCAGGCAGGAAAACATTTACCCAAGCTCCCTCTCCCACCTGTGGCCACAACTCCAGGGACGGAGATGCTTGTTAGTTAAGGAAGCAGCTCTGTCACCATGAGCTCGTGGGGATTTTAGGAAGACAGCTTTAGGGGAAGAGACGCTAGACTCATGTTTGAGAAGGCAGGTTCTGAAAACTCTTGGGACACTGGGCAGAGAGTTCTAGAAGAGAGTTGGGTCTCAGGGTCTGAATCTGGGAGAAGTGGGAGGTACAAGTGATTCCCCACCCCACCCCCCGCCCGCTGCCTCAGACCCAGGCACTCCCCCTGAGCCTCAGACCCACCCCACCACATGGCAGCTGCTCCAACATCCCGGCCCTACAAGGTAACGCAGATTAGCTCGCGGTGGCCACACAGATCTCCAGAGCCTCAACACGTTTGGAAAAAGAATGTATAATTTATTTGTACAATTTTTCACACTTGAATTTTACAATTTAAAAAAGATACAAAACAAAAGACAAACAGTGATCACATAAATTAAGAGAAGCACTAAAGAAGGAACGCCTTCTCAGCATGACAATGCTTTTGAAAATCCGCCTCGGGGAACAGGCACGTCCGCATGGTCCCTGCGGTTGCTGCTGCCCAAGCACCCTGCGAGTGGATCGTACAGCCTTCCGTTCCAAGGTTAAGTCCTAGCACAGAATCACTCAATTTGTTCTTGGAAACACCAGTGTGTCTGAGAGGGGGCAGAACCTCACGGCCCTGCGTTTAGGCTTCACACTTGGCAACTGAAACGTGACCTTCCCTCCAGGGAAACTTTAGGGGCTGGAAGGGGTCACAGGGAGTCCAACACACACCTCTCTCTTCTTTGTCACAAGCACGGGTGCTGTGCTTTAGCATGTCACTTACAGAGCATTCAATTCGGAGCCAAGCACTTTGTAAAAGCAACTCAAGTCCGCTGCTGTTCACACAGGCAAAGACAACAGTAGTTTCAGAGTCAGGTGTAGAACTACTTAGAGGATCACGGCCCAGATTCCATGAGCACTGAGGTAGTAACATGTAGAAAGTTTACAGGAAACAGTGTATCTTTAATCAGCATCCCTGATTGCCCTGGGTCACCTCAATTTCCACGTGATTAGCAGACCTTAAGAGGGTCAGCAGGCACCCCACTCGGGGTGGGACCACAGTAGGGGGTGGGGTGTAGCACAGTCTCCAGGGAGAGGGACAGGGAGAAGACATGGAGTAAGGCTGGTCTCCCTGGACAGCACCCCACCCAACAGGCAGGGGCCCCCTGCCCCAGCAGTGCTCAGCACTGAACACATCTGCTCCGTCTACACCCTCACCACCACCCAAGAAGGAAAAAAGGTTTCAGTGCCCTGACAAGTGGCTATCAAGTCATCACCCATGAAGGGCTGGTCCCTTTATTTCCAGCCACCTTCCAGGGCTGCTAAAAAGGCACTAAAAAATGATCAGCAAAAATCCCTCGTGGGGAGACAGGCCCTGGGGCTGCCCCAAGTGGCCCGCACTGGCGATGGCCCCAGAGGGTGGCCCCTGCAGTTTCTACCTGGCTTCCTCCCTTCCTATCTCAAGCCGTCCAGCAGCTGAGAAGTCACCAGCCCCATGTGCATCCAAGAGGGGCCCCTGGAACGGGGCTTGGAAGGGAGGTCCCCGTGGGACATACCCCATCCCTCTGTCCTGCACTGGCCCTGCATGCCCACACCCAGCTGGGCCTCCGCTGTCGGACGAGGGGCGCGGGACTGTGCGCCCGGGGTGGGGGAGGCCATGTGGCCTGCAGAGAACTGTGGAGCGTGCCAAAGACAGACAGGTTCACTATTTAATAAAAACGAAAGGACCTGGGAATCATTTCTAAAAATACATCATGCACAGGGATTAAAAATCAGCCCCTTCGGGCTTCCCTGGCGGCGCAGTGGTTGAGAGTCTGCCTGCCAATGCAGGGGACACGGGTTCGTGCCCCGGTCTGGGACGATCCCACACACCGCGGAGCGGGTGGGCCCGTGAGCCATGGCCTCTGAGCCTGCGTGTCCGGAGCCTGTGCTCCGCAACGGGAGAGGCCACAGCAGTGAGAGGCCCGCGTACCGCAAAAAAAAAAAAAAAAAAAAAATCAGCCCCTTCATTTTCTTGTGGAATGGTGTCAAGGACCCAGGCTGTATGGATTAGCTGTTTGCCTGTTCAAAAAGGAAAAAGAAACGATGTTATTTTCTTGAGACAAACAAAGGTAGAAAATTATTTTTTCCCCTAAATGAACGTGAGGCCCTTACACACCAATGAGTAAGCTTAATAAGACAAAGGGATATTGTTTTTCTACAGCATGAAGGTCAAGGGGTTAGGCTGACAGTGGAGGACAGCATGTGCAAAGGCCCTGAGGCATAAGGGGGAACGGGGTGTGTAGGGATCCAATCATTCAGCACAGCTGGGACACAGGCCTCTGTGGGCAAACCGAATGTGACCTTAGCCACTGAAAGACGTCAAGTGTCTAATTGTCCTGCTTTCTACCCACTTTCTCTGCTGCCACCCAGCCCTCTCACTCCCCGCTCTGGCCGTGTTGAGCCACCAGCGGTACCTTAACACACCTTGCCCGTTTGCTCTCTCATCCTGGAGGGACAGTCTCCCCTTGGCCTGGCTCACCTCCCTCAAGGTGTCCGGGCTGCCTTCTCCTCCCAGCCCCACCGCAGCCCCCCAGCTTCCCTCTACCACATAGCCCCCGGTGGGTCAGAGGGAGTCATCTATTTCCAGCACTCGGCCCTTTCTGGGGTGGGGACTAGATGGGCCCCGTGGCCACTTGAAGGTGTTAGGTCCTACGGTTTCAATCTGGGGAGATGCAGGCTGGACCTCATTGGGCAATGCCCTCTGGTTCTGCACCTGGGTACCTTTGGAGACTTGAGAGGGGACAGAATAGAACTTTTTCTTCCACCAGGAGCCAACCCCTAGAAGGAGCCGAAATCTGTGGGCTCTGCCAGTCCCGAGGCCCGTGAGATGGACCCAGGATCCAGGCAGAGCACAAGGACTGGGCTCCGTTAGGCACTGCAGGCCAGGCCGGGAGCCTGAGGTGGCAGGGTCACCGGGAGCCCCTGGGATCTTTCCCCACCTTACCACCTCTCCTTGTACCAGAGAACCCCAGCTGCTCCCCGGCCCCAGGGTGTACTCGATAGCCCAGAAAAGGACAGGGCAGAGTCACGGCTGGCTGACCTGCCTCTCCCTGCTCTCTGCCCATCCACCAGAAGTTTGACTCAATGACGTCTGGGTGGGTAAACAGAACCACCTGAGCCAGAACTGAGCGTGGTCAGCAGAGCACAAGGAAGTCCATCACAGTCAGCTCTGGACCCTGCAAAGCTGAGCCCCAGACGTTTTCATCCAAACACCAGTGGTGGGCCTTGGACAGTGGGGGAGGGGATGCCACCTGGCACGGGGACCACACCTCCTAGGCTTTGACACAGCGAAGCCAGAGAACCCAATGAGGAGGACGGGAAAGTTACCCTCATTTGTCGATAAATCCAGTCTGTAAACACGGTCACGTTTCCGTACACTCCCGGTCGGTAAGCCTTAGCACAGCCAGACCCCCAGCTCGTGTCCCCGATCAGCCACCAGACGCTGCTCTTCAGAGTGACCAGAGGGCCTCCGCTGTCACCCTGGGGGACACAGCAGGTTACAGAGCAGAAGTGAAACCACAGGCCGTACATCACAGAGGGCAAGGAGGTGGGGGTAATGGGAGGGTCTGCAGGCCTCCTCCAACGAGGTGACAGTAATATAATCCCCCAAAGAGACTGTGCCAGCGACGAATTTGAGCCTGCATCAGTCACTAGTTACCAAATAAATGGCTGTCCATATTTTTAAATAGTCAAAATACTTATTTCTGTGGCACTGACACTTCGACCACATAGCGCCTTCTGGAGGAAGCAGCGGCATGCATTGTTGGGGGTACCAGGGCTTTCGCACCGTCCATGGCCATCCCTTCCCACGGCCGCCCCCGGGCCCCAGGTCGGGGAGGAGGTGCTCCTCACGGGCCCCCTGGGAGCCGTCCAAGGCCCAGAGGCTGAATGCAAGCTGGTCATCACCTGGCAGGAGTCGACAGTTCCCTGCAGGTACCCCGCGCAGATCATGGCCGGCGTGATGAGGTCACTGTACACCTGCTTGCTGTCGCACCGCCAGGGCTCGATGAGCTGCACCATCGCCGCGTTCAGCCTATCCGAGGTTTTCCCTGCAACAGAGGATGGCCTGGTTTTCCCAGGAAGCCTGGACTCCCTCCCGGGGGGCGTGGAGAGACGGCCACGTCCTTCTTCCCATACTGGCTCCTGGGACACCGGGTTATCTTCCAGCTGCTGGGGCCTGTGTTTAAAGCGGCTCCAGATTTGGTTTGGGAACAGACTGCCTGCCTCTGGGGCTGGGGAGCTCCACCTGTGTCCTAGAATCATCCTCTCCCATCACCCAGCCACTTGGTTTCCTGGGATCAGCTTTCCTCCTTCATTGCTCCCTCTTCTCTGGACCATTCCCAGGGCCACCGGAGGAGCCCTGTGTTTCCACCTCAAACACCCGACCGTCCTCAACCCCACACGACCCTTCACTCTCTGACCACCTGCCCTCGGCTGCCAGCAGGTGGAAACTTCCTAGACGCTCGCTGGGACTTGCACTCTATGTCTCCCAGCTGCTACCTGGATGTCTTCTGGGCTCCATGGGCGTACCGTGCTGAAGCTGTGCCTCTCCTAGAGGGCTCCTCCACCCAAAGCCATACCGCACCCCGCCCCCCCGTCCTCCGGACTCGGGAAATGGTCCCACCACCCACCGGGGGGCTCGCGTCACAGCTGGAAGCCGCCTTCCTGTGACTCTTCACTCTTTCTCTGCTGACACTCCATCCATCAGCAGATCTGAAGGCTCTGTCCCAAACGTGCTCCCACCCCCACCCCACCCCCACCCCCGGTCTGAGCCGCCTTCTTGTCTCGGAGGACCCAGCACTGGTCCCCTCACCGTGCTGTTCCGTCTGCCCTCACCCCCAACCCTTCCGTGACTCCCTACACAGCTCTCAGATCAAGTCACTCCAGTATCCTCATTATAGCCTACAAGGCCCTATACGACCTGGCCCCAGCCTGCCCCCTCACCCCGGCTCATCGTGCCCTGGCCACACTGGCCCTTCTGTTCGTAAGACACTCTAGTCATGCAGATCTTAGCTCAAATGTCCTCTCTTCCGAGAAGCCTTCCCTGACCACCGCTCGCTGTCGCAAACCTCTGCTGTTTGAAAGCACCTAGTTCAGTTATTCCTTTCCTGTCTGAGCACATCCTGCCCCCAGACATCCATAGGAGAATGTGAAGCTCCTGCGGGTAGAGATTTCTGTCTCATTTTGTTCGCTGCTGCATTCCCAGCTCTTGGTCGGCGCTCCACAAATTGTGGCTGACTTTCCCTTTTGTCTTGGATGCTGGGAAACCTTGCTCACAACTGGAAGGCTCAATCCAGGAGCTTTCTTTAGACCAGATGCCAGGGCACCCAGGGCCACCGACATCTCCCCTACCCCTCCCAACCACCCCGCCCTTGAGCTATTCACTGTGCTTTAAAAGATCCTTGGAGGTGTGCCCTAAACACTTTTGGAAGGATGTAAACAATATATAAATGTACGACTAAGCCCATCCAATGCTCCATAAGAATGCAACAGCAAGGATCCCTTCATCTGAAAAACGTTATCTGAGATGAAAGCAAATTATAACTGAAGGCAGCTGGGCCAGCCTGTGTCAGGAGGGTCTAGTGCCTCTTCCCCCTCTGTGGTGTCAGGGCAGGAGGACAAAGCCTCTGACGCCTGCAGCTGGCATTGCCGGTCACACAAGCCCATCCTCACCGAGTCCGTTATCACACAGCCATCAAACGCAGGCAGACTTCTGGGCGGCCTGTTAGCGACCATGGGGTACAAACATGGGGGCCGTGTGCCCCTCACACGGTGGCCTTCACCCTTCAAAAACCAGTTTCCACACATTGTTCCATTTGGTCTTAATAAGGGCATGGGGTAGGTAGGGCAGCTAGGATTTTCCCATCTAGCGCGTGGGGAAACAGGCAAAAAGACTGGGCGAACTGCCCAAAGTCGTCAGATCACTTAGTGGTAGAACCAGGATCAAAACCTAGACCTCCCACTTCAGAACGCAGTGATCTGCTCCTGAGACCCGCAGATCCCCTGCTGGGAGCCTCACCTTTCTCGTAGGTGGACCCCCACCCGGAAATCCAGCAGGACTGTGCCGGTTCCAGCATCATGCCTGGGTTGGGCAGACACACTGGTTTCACCCTGTCTGTTTCAAGAAGGGAAAACAGCGTGAGCGGGTCCAGTCTAACTGAAGGCCTCGGGCGATGGTGTCCACCTGGACCTTCCCTGGGCCTGGGACCACCAGCCTCCTGCCCAGGGAGACTTCTGGATTCCAGTGTGTCCTGGCATCCCCCTTCCTGCCCCTGCCAGGACCCTCCTTCTAACAGGCAAGACGCCCCCCTCTGAAAGTTAGGGTTTCAGAGGATTGAAGATCAACAGTCCTGTGACGCAAAGAGTTGACACTGGACGTGGTAGGGCTGCATCGGACTAAATTGATAAGGATGGAGGTAAGTGATGAGCAATTTATAATTAAACTCTCAACAGGTGCAATTGCAAACCAGCACCGAGTGAAGTCTGACCCACCAGATGCTGACTAGGAAACAACTTTTCTAGACATTCACGTGTGCTGATTAAGTCGTCACCGTGCCGAGGAGGAAAAGTGCCGCAGTGAACGCATCCCTCAGTGGCCAAAGGCACATTTTGGGGTGACTCGGCCTCTGCTGAGCCCTCTTCTAGCAGCCAACCCCTCCCCTGGCTCCACACGCTACAACTCAGTGCAAGTTCCTTCCTTCTGGACATCACAGCACATTTTATTTCCAGTCAACCTCTCCTTAAGAGGTGGCCAAAACCGTTCACATACCCCGGGCTGCAGGAACGCCGCTACGCACCGTTAATAGTCAGAGGCGTCTGCAGCTTCATAAGAGCGATGTCGTTGTTCTTGGTCTTGGAATCGTAATTCGGGTGGGAAATCACTTTTGCTACTCGGTATCCGTTTCCATAGAACATGAAAGATTGTCTCAAAATTCCTGCAAAGGCCGTCCAAATCTTGGGATTGTTAAGAGGTCTGGAAGACAGACATGAACACCGCTCAGCATGTCAGAACCACAAACACTCATTTGACAGCCTTCAAAAGTCATCCGCCGGAGCCAAGGTCTCCAAGGTGACGTGATTTGTCAAAAGCCGCAGGACAAGACTGGCCAGGTGGTCTCAGGCCCCTCCCCCTCCGCACCTCACACAACCCCCCCTCCCCTCCTTTACCTCGTCAGTGAATCCTATTCCTTCCGTGCTTCCCCGCCAGCCTGCAAACCCTCGCAATTCCAAGAACCCTTATTCTTGAGCCTAAGTGCCTTCCTGAGGTTTGAAACCCCATTTCCGGCGTGGCTGGGTCTAACTGACTTTTACATGCTAGAGCATTTCCTGGCACACAGTAGGTGCTTAATAAGTGTGTACTGACGAATAGACTCTGAGTCTAATAGCCGTCCAGGCATTACCTTTATCTGGGTATTTCCCTTCTAAGAAAATCCTAAATCCTACAGCCCATGGAATACGGTGGATGGAAGGAAGGGAACGCTCTTGGGTAATAAACACTGCTTTCTTCAACCATACAACAGCCCTTGGAGCAGCACACCTGTCTTACAGGTGCAGATGCTACAGTCAGCCACCTGGAAGGAACTGTCTGAAGCCACTGAGCCAGAGAATGGCCAAGCCAGGCCTGGCCACACTCTAAAGAAAAATAACTCTGGTGAGTGGGAATGAGCCTTTTTCAAAATAGCCATGTGACCAAAACACACAAAAAAACCCCACAAAAAAACCGTCCACGTTTAAGAAAAAAGGAGGGGGAATAGTATCTTCTACAAAAGCTAACACTGTAAATGATGGCTACCCTTGCCCCTCTCCACGCACCTGCATGGGCAATGCTGTGGCCCAGGGTGTTTAATGGACCACAGAGGACCTTCCTGCATGGCAGTGTGAGGTCTGAGTGTCTTTGAGTGCACCCTCTCTGGCGATGAGCACCCAGGGGAAACCAGGCCTCCCAAGAGGGCAGGGGCCTCAGGAAAGGTGGGACAGAGCTGAGAAGACTGTGGGCTAGAAGGAGTTCTTTCTTTTTTTTTTTTTTTTATAAATTTATTTATTTTATTTTTGGCTGAGTTGGGTCTTTGTTGCTGTGCACGGGCTTTCTCTAGTTGTGGCGAGCGGGGGCTACTCTTGGTTGCAGTGCGTGGGCTTCTCATTGCGGTGGCTTCTCTTGTTGTGGAGCACGGGCTCTAGGTGCACGGGCTTCAGTAGTTGTGGCGCGCAGGCTCTAGAGCGCAGGCTCAGTAGTTGTGGCGCACGGGCTTAGTTGCTCCGCGGCACGTGGGATCTTCCGGACCAGGGCTCGAACCCGTGTCCCCTGCATTGGCAGGCGGATTCTTAGCCACTGCGCCACCAGGGAAGCCCCTAGAAGGAGTTCTGATCACAGCATCACCCCAGCCCCACACCGCATCCCTGCGCCAGACCCCGTGAGTAATGGACGCACGCTGAAGGGATGGGCTTGGCCACGTGCTGCACGAGTCATTTGACCCTCCCAGCGAGGCAACGACCTGGGCGTCCTTAGAATCCCCGCGTGTCCACAAGGAAACAGGAACCCGAAGGAGTCGGAGACTTCACTCCAGGCCGCAGGGCCCAGAGCCTCCGCCTCCCAACCCGGGACCCGCCCCCGCGGGACTTACTCCTCCACGCAGTGGGCGGCGGTCACGATCCACTCGGGGGTGATGATGGAGCCTCCGCAGACATGGGTGCCCTGCACGTGCAGGCTGACTTGCCAGGGCCAGTCCCCCGGGGCAGCGCTCGACCCGCCCACGATCCGGCTCTGGCGGCTCGTCTTCCCCGAGACCCCGCACTCTGAGGGCGACAAGCACAGCGCGGCCGGCCAGTGAGAGAAGCAGGGCCGCCCGCTTCCAGCCGCCTGACGCCCGTCACACCCGGTGCCCAAACGGCCCCCAGCCCGAGGGTCCAGCCTGGCCGGAGGGTGACTGTTGTCTGCTCTTGGTCCTGTTTGTTTGAGGTCCGACTTTCAGAGAATGTGTCCTGGTCTCTTTGCGTTGGGGGGTGGGGTGAGAGGACAGCCCCCCAGCCCCCCTCCCCCCAGGAAGCACCACTTCTGCTGGCACTGGGTGCCCCTGTTCCTTGGCACTCGTGCGATTCCATCGGCGTCTCCCGTACACCCAGGTGGGGGGCCTGGATAACAAAAGCCCTGGCACCCCCTCGAATGCTCAGAGGCCCCAAGATTCCTTAATAGAGCTAAGGAGGCTTTTCTCATGTGTGCTGCTCTCAAGCTGCCAGGAGGTGGATGGTGGAGCGTGCGCGGGAAGGCAGGGCAGGCACCTGCTTTCTCCGTACCTAAAGAAGCTTTAGCCAGCCTGGGTGGGAAGGTACCAGCGGGACCACTGGGGCATGCGTCCACCTAGGGGCGTCTGCTAGCTTCACCTGTTCAAACTGAAAAGCCAAGCTTCAGGCCTGAGACCCGTATGGGAACAGGATGGGGCTGTCCCAGAGAAGGGAGCGCAGGGACAGTGTCCTCCATACCAGTAGAAGGTTTGGAAACTATAAATAATCCAAACACAGGAACGGGGACACCCACAGGCCTCCAGCTCCAGCGTGGGGATGCCCTAGAGTGTGGCCCCGTCAGTTTCTTGAGCTCTCCCGTCCTCATGGGATAGCTGCTTCTTGGACTTGAGGCTGAAGGCGTCTCAAGTGCATCGGAATTCAAGAAAGGAGCCCCTTGGGCAGAGTGCTGGGCATGTCCTGACCTGTTACCCCACCTTATCTCTCCACATCCCCCAGAGACACAGGGAGATACATTTCTATAAGTACCAAATGTTTCCTATTTTAGAAACACAAAAAGGAAAACCAAGAATCACTTACCTATACAGCGTAAAGAAACCACTGTTTTTGAAGAACAGACATCACTACAAAAGAAAAGGGGAAAATTCTGGTCACTCTAACAAACGAGACACTTGATTCTCAAAATGCTTAGAAATAAATATTTTCGTCTACTGTTCTCACAGCCTCCCCAGACGCGGGAGAGTCCAGAGCTGAAGACTCGAATAAGGAAAGTAAACCTATGTACATAGGGGACGCTAGTAAAGAGCAGACACTGAGTCAAAGTGCAGGGTTCAAATCCAAGCTGTGTGACCTTGGACAAGCTTCCTAACCTCTCTGTGCCTCAATCTCCCCATCTGCAGAATGGGCTAATATAGTACCAACTCATAGGGTGGTTGTGAAGATAAGCACACATCATATCAGCTGTTATTATTTTTCCTTGGGATTTAAAATGATCCTTTAATTTTGTAAGGAAGACATTCGTAAACTTCCAGGTTCCTATAACTGCTTTACATTTACCGCACAGGAAACTATACAGTCAATCATTTGCCTGGGAACAGAAGAAAAGTTACTCATTTGGGGGGCAGACATTCCAGGTTACATATGAAAAAGAAACAACCAATGCGTTCCACTGTGTACGGAATTTTCCCCCAATATGCTGAGGAGAAGAGAAACAGCCCTGACACCCACATGTTCGAACCTGGCCACGTTCTGTTGAACGTAAACAGCTCCCAGGGCATCAACATGGGGCCATACCACCGTTACATGATGGATCAGGACGCAGGCACGCCCACTGCACGATCCCATGAGCCTGGTCCAAGCCACACAGTGACCAACAGGCCCCTATGCTGGCTGACACGAGTAGCCGCACTTCCCAGCCAATCCCAGCCATAGCCTGGCTTCATGCCACCCACCTTCTAAAAAAAAAAACACCATTAAGGTACCAACTACAGAATCACCCTCACTTCCGGACAGCATCCAATGCAGGGCAAAGCCCTGCTTCCTGGAACCTTCCCCAAAAGGACTCAACGCAAGCCCACACCCTGTAATAAGTCCCTTCTCACCCGCTTCCATGGAGACACCCACAGTTCCAGGACAAGGCATGTCCTGGTGGTCTCTGGCTGGGGGGCATTGGATGCCAAGAGAAGACATGTTCCCATTAAGAGAAGATGCTTTGTAAGGACCATAAGGTCATTCTCCTCTGCACACTGCAGCCACCGGCATCAGGGCGCAAAACAGCCACTCAGACAAACCCTGCGAGGACTCAGGTATCAAAGAGCAACTTCTGAAAGCAGAGAGGAAAGCAGTTCTCCCACCTCACGCCATGCATGCCGGGGACACCACATCCCAGGCAATGACCTTCTCTTCTTTCCTCCAAACCCAGCAGCCACCTTGTGAGTTACCGAGAGGTGGCAGCCTTTCCTCCCCTGCTCAGCCCTGATTCCATGTAACCAAAGACGATGAAGAGACAGTCGGGGGCATTTACAAAGAGCCCAGGCAGCTGTGTTTAGTTCCTCGGGAGGGCAAACCACGGCCTGCTGTTTTGATGGGCACACCTGGCCGTGTGCACCCCTTCTCCTGGGCTCACCATCTCACATTCCTGGGGACAGCCAGACCAGGTGCCCCAGGCAGAAGTCAGCCCCCCGGGCCACCAGGAACGCAAACCTGCTCCCAGCCTCCCGCGCACACGGAAGGAGGGGAAGTGTGACCCATCCATCCTCCCCTAAATGCAGCATCTGGCACCTGGCCAGCAGGGAGGTGACGGCCTGCCTGGCCACCTGGAGATGGGAGATGGGGACCTGGGAGCTGAGGAGGACTTAAGCAAGAAGGACACTGTGTATCTTTCACGTTAAGGAACATTCGGATAGTAATAATGATCCTAGGAAGACTGCAACCATTTTCAACATATGCAACACAAAATGAGTAGCTCAAGCCCAGCCCTCTCCCCCACCCTCCGAAGCAGTTAAACCATCAACCATGGGACCAGCTCAGGTTCATTTCCACCCACCAGACGCACTGCGACCCGTCCAGCGCTGCAAGTATCCCTCCAGGTACAGGAAACATTGGTGCCCTGGACCAGCCGCTCGCTCCCAGGCCCACCCCTTGCACAGCATCCTCTGACACGATTGCTTGGGCTGGGGGACCAACCACCCCCGCTGCCTGGGGCTGAGGGGCTTCTTGGGAAGCAGGATTTCCAGTGTGAAACCGGCAGAGTCCTGGGCAAACCAGGATGAGTTGATCACCCCAGTGGAGACCCTGAGACATTCTTTTGGACTCCTAGACACACACCCTGACACACTGTAAGGTACATGTCTAATGTCCGGAGAGAGAAAAAAATCAGGAAAGAGGAATTTCAATTGTGCAATGTTACCCAATACCATGGAGGGCAGAGGGCACAAACAAGATGGCAAATAGACCTTAGCCACTTCCCTGGAATAAACCCAGAGCTGCTCAGAGGGACGAGTCCTACGTAAAGTCCAATCTCCGCCCCACGAGAAACTCAGACAAACCCGCAGGTGCAGCAGAGAAATCAAACTCTGGACAGTGATTCTCCCTGACGCCTCCTACTCATTCCCATTACACAATTCTTGAAAGGAAAGAGGAAATCACCGTGGCCAACAGGCACATGAAAAGATGCTCAACATCACTAATTAGAGAAATGCAAATCAAAACTACAATGAGGTATCACCTCACACCAGTCAGAATGACCATCATCAAAAAGTCTACAAATAAGGGCTTCCCTGGTGGCGCAGTGGTTGAGAGTCTGCCTGCAGATGCAGGGGACGTGGGTGCACTCCCCGGTCCGGGAAGATCCCACATGCAGTAAGAGGCCCGCGTACCGCAAAAAATGTCTATAAATAACAAATGCTGGAGAGGGTGTGGAGATAAGGGAACCCTCCTACACTGTTGGTGGGAATGTAAATTGGTGCAGACGCTATGGAGAACGGTATGCAGGTTCCTTAAGAAACTAAAAATAGAGCTACCATATGATCCAGCAATCTCACTCCTGGACATATTTCTGGACAAAACTACAATTCAATAACATACATGCACCCCAATGTGCACTGCAGCACTATTTACAATAGTCAAGACATGGAAGCAACCTAAATGTCCATCGACAGAGGAATGGATGAAGAAGATGTGGTCCATGTATACAAGGGCATATGACTCAGCCATAATAAAGAATGAAATAATGCCACTTACAGTAACGTGGATGGACCTAGAGATTATCGCACTAAGCAAAGTAAATCGGAAAGAGAAAGACAAATACCATATAACACTTATATGTGGAATCTAAAATATGACACAAATGACCTTATCTAAGAAACAAACTCACAGACATAGAGAATAGACCTGTGGTTGCCAAGTGGGGAGGGAGGTGGGGGAAGGATGGATTGGGAGTTTGGGATTAGCAGATGCAAACTAGTATATATAGGATGGATAGGCAATAAGGACCTACTGTATAGCACAGGGAACTATATTCAATATCCTGTAATAAACCATAACGGGAAAAGAATATGAAAAAGAACGTATATATAACTGAATCACTTTGCCATACAGTAGAAATTAACATAACATTGTAAACCAACTATACTTCAATGAAATACATTTTTAAAAAGAAATCACCAAATTAAATACCTGTGGTAGAGTTTTTTATAGAGATCGATATTGTTGGCACTGACATTCAGCTTCATGAAGCTTGTGGCCCCGCTGTCATCCACTATTCCTTGGCTAGAAAAAAAACTATTCCTGAAAAAGACAGAAAATCTTATTTAAAATAATGGATTTTGTTGTGAGCATTCGTAAATCCTATGTTATAGCTACATCAGAATATGACATTCTGGTTACGAGGAACAGCATAGCATTTGGGAAAACAAAAACACAACTTCCAGTCAAGTGACGCTGCGTTATAACCATCTTTCCATCCGATAAGCCTGAAGTGTCAGGGAAATGTCCTCCATCAGTCGTGTTTCTAATCTAATCTGGATTAGGATAAAGAAGCAGTAAGCATAAGGGTGTGTGAGTACATATAATGTAACAAAATTACACGTGTTACAATGCTCCCAGTGATAAAATACAGACCCTGAACCGTGATGGGGCCTCACTTACGTCATTCACAGTGACATACGCTGCCATTGGAGGCTGGCATTTTGAAGTATTTCACTAGCTAAGATGCCAGCTTTCTTATCAAGTGGTAATTCACTTTGAAAACTGGCACAAAGGCAACACACTAGAATTGCACAGAATTTACACGGTGACACCCCCAAGGAAGAGACGGTGGCAATGAAATCGCACAGCCTTTCCCTGGGAGGCCAGACGGCTGCCACGCGTTGACAAGGATGGTCTGGCGTGTCCCTGGCTGGAATCCTGAGGAGGGGGCACTCCCACCCCCTTCTCCCACCTCCTCTGGTGGCTGCATGAGGAATTAATTCTCTAACGGATAAATCTGTTGATCAGCTCTCTTCTGTTCAAAGGCCTCCAGCGCCTTCTGCGCTCACGCAGTGAAGGTTATGCAGATCTGTTCCCTCCAGACCTTCCCTGCAGCCCTCCCCTCTCGCTACCACCCAGGAGGTGAGTGGAGTCAAGGCTTCAACCCTGCCTGGGGGCTCCTTAGGAAATGAGTCACCCAAGGCCCTCGGCCAGCACCCTGGACCCTGGTGACCGCAGAGCTGGACAGCCTCGAGTAACCAGGAGCTGATGGAGGCCCCAGAGGCAGGGCTGGGGGTGCCATGGAGGGGGATGGGGCAGTGTGGTGCCCACAGTCCCCTGCTGGCTTCCCGGAGTGGCTTTAGAAAGGAGACAAAGGCTCGTGGTGCCCCTGTGTTGGCACTTCCAGGGAGGGACAGAGAGAAGCAGTGATCTTATGTGACCATCATCACGGAGGCCACGGGGCTCAGAACTCACGGGTAGCCCATGTCCTGGCACGCCGCTCTCCCGTAGTTGTCACTCCAGTCATCCTGGCACACGGGGTGCCAGGACTTCCTCTGAGTTGAGTACACCTGAAGGATGAAGTTGGGTCCGTAGAGACGAACTGCAGGAAGGGAGATTCTGGTGAGTCTCAAACCATCGTCCTGTCCGCCACATGAGCCCCACCTTCCCTGGGACACAGAGGCCCTGGGACCCAGAGGCAGGGCTAGGCTCCCTCTTCCCAAGGCACCAGCTACACACGAGAGATGCCGAGAATCCAGCCTTTCCCCGCAAAATATGCCCTTCACCCACAAGAACTGAAAACAGGTATTCAGACAAAAATGAACATTGTACACAAATGTTCGTGAAAGCATTACCCACAAGAGCCAAAAGGTGGAAACAACCCAAATGTCCATCTACCGATGAATGCACAAAATGTGGTCCATCCGCATAATGCAGCATTATTTGTTCATGAAAGGGGATGAAACACTGACACAATACGGCACCCACGACATTCTGCTGAGTGAAAGAGGCCAGACACAAAGGCTCACACACTGTATGATCCCATTTCTGTGAAACGTCTAGAGAAGGAAATCTATAGAGACTGAAAGTAGGTTAGTGGTTGCTCAGGGCCTGGCATCTGGGGCTCATTCTGCTGTGGAATGACCAGCCTTGGTCTGATCATTTCCTACTGCTTCTGTGATGAGTGACTCCACACACCAGGTGAGTGGATAAGCCAACTGGAGGACATCTAGACAATGGATTACGATTCAACACTAGAAAGAACTGAGCTATCAGGCCATGAAGAGACGTGGAGGAACCTTAAATGCACATCATTCGGTGAAAGAAGCATCTGAAAGGGCTCCAATTCTAAGATACTTGGGGAAAGGCAAAACCACGGAGATGGTAGGCAGATCAGTGGTTACTCGGGGCTGGGGAGTAAGGGATGAACAAGTCGGGCACAGAGGATTTCTAGGGCACTGAAACTACTGTGTATGACACTGTCATGGTGGATACATGTTAGACATCTGTCCAAACCTACTGTCCGATGTATACATTGTACATTTATCTGCAATACAGAGTAAACCTTAATGTAAACTAAGGACTTTAGTCAATAACAATGTATCAATATCGACTTATCACTTACAATGCATGTACCACCCCAAGGCAAGATGTTACAAACAGGGGCGACTGTATGTGAGGGCACGGGTGGAGGGGGGGATGGGAACTCTGTTCGTTCTGTACACGTGAGACTGCTCAGGATTCCACGCAAAGGAACGCAGCGAGTGCAGCAGGGGGAAAGGGGAGGCTCACGTCCCAGCAGAAAAGTGACTTCCAGGATGTGTCCTCAAGCCCTGTGGAGTCAGCTGGATGGCAACCATAGGGAGATGGGCACATTAACAATGCAAACACATATTTACATTTTCGTGCAAAAGCTCTGTGCAAGGAGAAACAAGATACTCTTATTCATTGCCCCTAAGGAAAAACATGATTGGCTGATGAAGAGGCGCGCGTGTGTGTGTGTGTCTGTGTGTGTGTGTTAGAAAAACTACCCTGTTCTTTCCTCTTCCTCACATCCTTGTTTCACGTGTGTCTTCTTTACTGCTCACACAGAACATGTCACTCCTGACAGGGCTGGTCACCAAACGTGTAGGGGGTTTTCTCCACACCAGGCAGTTCTCCACGACACCAGCTGGGCGTCCTACAATTTAGTTCTAACACTCTTTACCTGGAGATGGCATCAGATCCCACAGGTTGAGGGCTCAGTCCCACAAGACTGCCCTCCTCCCCCTTCCCCCGCCCCCCCCAGTTCAGATGCCAGCCCCAAGTCCAGGTTGTCACCTGTGCTTCTGACCGACCAGCTAGAACTCAGAGGTTCCCGCGATCCCCTCCTCAGCTTCGATTAATTTGCTAGAGCAGCTCACAGAACTCAGGAAAAGCATTTACTTACTGTTTACCAGTTCATGATAAAGGATGGGATAAAGGACACAGATGCACATCCAGAGGAAGAGAAGCACAGGGCAAGGTATGTGGGGAGGGGCGGGAGAGTCCGTGCCCTCTGGGCACACCGGTCTCCCCAGATCTTCATGGGGTCACCAACCCGGAAGCTCCCCAACCCTGTACTTTTGGGATTTTATGGAGGCTCCATCACGTAGGCGTGTTCGATCATTAACTCCATTTTCAGCCTCTCCCCCTCTCAAGACAATAGGGTGCGGAGCTACAGTCTAAGCTTGTTCTCTGCCATGACCAGCCCCCATCCAGGGGCCATTCAGGAGCCCGCCAAGAGTCGCGTTCTTAGGACAAAAGACGCTCCTATCACCCAGGAAATGACAAGGGTTTTAGGAGCTCTGTGTCAGGAACTGGGGTCAAGGATGAAATACTAGAACCAAAGATGCTGCTGGTGGTCTTTTCACTTCGGAATCACTAGAGTTTCAGGAGCCCTGTGCCGGGAACTGGGGGCAGAGACCAATACATACACTCTGTTATCTCACAGTGTGTGAGTATATACTATGTGTAAGTATGTGAGTGTGTGTGTGTTATGTGTAAGTGTGCATGAGTGTAAGTGAAATGGGGGAGATGAGATTTTTCACTGCATACCCTTAGGGACTTCCTGAATTATGATCTATTTGAGTACATTAACTCTTAAAGTATTTAAATAAATACAACTTCAGTATTAAGAAGAGAGAGAGAAAGTCTCTCCAGGTAACATGAGTTTGTCTTGCTAGAATTTATCAACACATGCACGTGCACAGGTAGGGAAACATCAAATGTCATTCCGCCTGAGAGCTTAACCACGTCTCCTCAACCTCAAAAACTCCCTGCTTTACTTAAGAAAATGGTGACAAATATATTATCACCAAAATAAAGGCAAGTCACTATGTCAACAGTTTATAGAGTGAGTGAGTCACTGCCAAGTGCAAACCCTCTCCGGGAAGGAACTGCAGGAGGTCGGGACTTAGAGGCCAAGGCACCAGCGTGGACGCAGGTCCATGCGGATGGTGCAGAGGCTGAGCTCTGGCCTAACCCCCAACCCTGAGGATTCCACGGCCAAGTCCGCACTGCCTCTCACACAGGTGCCCTGACCTGGAAACGGGATGTACGGGAGATCCATCCTCCCCCAGGATGGCTGCAGAAGGAAGACAGCGGTGGGGTAGAGCCCGGCCTTTGTCTGGTATCACCTGCATTCAGAGTTAACACAGTTCCCAGAGGACGCAGCAGGCTTTAGGCTCTGGGTACGGCCCTCAGTGGGTATTAGCACAAGCCTCGTCCTCAACGCCAGGGTCATCATTTTCCCTGGCATGACCACTTTACCACCCATGAAATAATTCATTGAAAATAATAAAAGCAGAAGAGGTGCCCACCCCGTGACAACATAGGTCACTTGAAAGGCAGCTTGTTTAGAAAACGCAGAGCCCACTCCCAACTTTATGTCTTAAAGAGTTTGCCTGTTTTAGTGACGTCGTGGCAGCTGGGGCAGGCACGTTGGCCTGGCCCTGGGCTGTGGTCTCCCTTCCCCCATGCTGTGCGATGCTGGTGGAGGGTTGGCGCTTGCCCACTCTGAGCCTGTCCCGTCATCTGAAAACCGGGCTTAGATGCGAGGCTCAGCCTTCAGGAAGGGATTCTGTTGTGGAACGCTCGGCGTTCGGGACACAGGCCTGACACCGACGCACCTGCCCTACTGTGGCCTCTGTGGTGGGGCAGAGCGGTCCCCCTCCGAGGCAGCCGGCACGGCCCCGCCACTCACCGCACCGGCTCTCGTCCTCGCCGCTGGGGCAGTGCAGGATACCATCGCACCAGTGAGAGGGGCTGACGCAGGTCCCCGAGGAGCTGCATTCCATCCCCAAGCACTCGTCCTCCACTGGCAGAGAAATGGAAGGGAGATGTCCGTTGGGCTGAGAAAACCTCCCAGCACCCAGGTGACAAGAGGGAGTGAGCTTTTCCTCCTTTACTGTAAAAGGAGGGGATGAGTCCTTGCCGACAACGTACGTCACAGGGAGCGGCCGCAGGGATCCTGACCCCCTCGGGTCTGTCACTTTGCTCAGGGGAGGACCCCTAGCCTCGGATCTGGACAGCACCCGCCCTCTCTGCCACACAGGTGAGTCCTGTGATCCACAAACCCTGCCCCGGGCTGATGGAGGAGACCTGGCTGTGGGTACAGGAGAGGCCTGTGGCAGCCACCGCTGTACACTGAGACACAGGGACCAGGTGTGGCCCCGAGGTGCTGCACTCCCTGTGCTCACGAGTGCCAGGTGCCACCTAGTACCCTGAAGCACGGGGCAAACTCAACGTGCTTCTCCCACGTGTATCAATATCACACACAAAGGGCACGGGACCTTGACAACCCAAGGATTAGGAGGAAGCATGCAAACGAGATCGGCCGCTTCCGAGAAAGGTTATTCATGCATCACATAACCAAACAGGAGGAAAGAGATGAGAAATTTCACGAGGGGCTGTGGGTGAGCCCCCAGCCCGGGAAGTAGGGCCACTAAAGGGCCGGCACACCACGACTTGGCCCCGTCCTGCACTTACTGAGCTTCCACAGCAGCATGGCAGCCAGGACTGCTCCAGCCAGGAGGGCTCCCAGGGAGAAGGTGACACACAGGACTTTCTTAGTCCCTGGAAGAAAAGAGTCGAGTGAACAACTTAGTCGCCAAGTTTCTTAGAAGTTAGACTCTCAAATATATATGGTATATCCTATCAAGGAATAATAATTTCTTATACATTTAAAAATGTGAGTTTTCTCTTTACGAACGTATCCTGGGAGGTCTTACTTCTTCCATAGCACTGAACTTTAGGCTTTTCTTAAGAACCGAAGCAGGAAGCCGTGATATGAAGCAACATACATTAAAATTAAGCTCTTCCACAAGTATGGCCTGAAGGTAGTCAAATAAATGATGAATAAAAAAATGGCTGAAAAAAGGAAACATACCTTGTTCTGGTGATTATAAAGCATAAGCAAAATAATAATAATGCTCCTCAGACTATCATCTCCATGTCAGTGGTACCCAAGGCAGCGGGAAAAAGCCTCTTCCTCAAGGTGGTTTAGGGAGGGATGGGACAGAGTCACACTGACTCATTTAAACAGTCACTGGCCACATGCGGCTATTTGCGCTTCAATTAATTACCGTTAAATGATATTAAATTGTTCGGTAAATTCAACTACTCAGCAATCCCATGTGACCAGTGGCTACTGCGCTGGACTGTGAAGAGGCAGGACATTCCATCACTGCAGGAAGTTCTACTGGGCAGCGCTGGCATCGCTCCCGGGTCTGGGGGCAGGAACTCTGGGCTCACGTTTCAGCTAAGAATACAAGTCTTTGGAGAAGGTCACCAGCGCTCTCTAGTCAAAACAAACCAACACGCCATTGTCGGTCAGAGTGTAAGCCAAACGTCATGCCAAGGTTCAGAGGAAGGCCCCCACCACCGCCACCCTCAGCAGTCCCTGTGCAGAGAGGAGCTCCAGGCCCAGTGATCCCTTGGGATAGGCGGAGAGGCAGAGGGAAGTGTTGGGGCGAAGGCGCTCACACAGACACTCCAACCCCTTAGTTCATACAGGAGGACATCCAGGCTGCAGAGGTGCAGTGCGGGGGGGCCTTGCACCCCACCTGTGCACATTCTTGCTTCGAGAAGTCCACCAGACCAAGACGTTCAGCTTCTGGGGTTGAGAGACCAGAGCTGACCCATCTGATCGGGGCTCAAAGCCTCGCCTCTCATTTCGTTACCATGTTCTGCCAATCCCACAGTCTGTGCTCAAATCGGCTTAGAAATCACCGGTGAGCCTCTTATCCAGAGATTCTGACTCAGCTCGGGGAGAGGAGGCGTGAGTCTGCAGTGCCACAGGCTCACGGGTGAGGTCACAGCCGCTGGTCTGAGGAGCTCCATGTGCCGCCAGCCACATTATCAGGACTTGGCACTGTGGTTGCATCTTACCGAAAGCAGGGCAGGGTCACCAAGGAAGCTCAGGGGAAATTCCAAGTGGCCAATTTGACCCATTAGTCAAGGATGATGTCTTCCTTTAGGAGGCTTCCCTATGTGTTATCTTATCCAAGATAAAATAACGTGCCTGGTGAGTTGAGGGCTATTAAACTAGGTATCTTGAACCTCTCGTTGAGAAGGTGACAACCTGCCCAGCCCTCACTACGAGCTTGGGCAGCAGGAGCCCCGGATCTCACCTCTGGGGGACAGGCATTTTGGAATCATTGTCTGGTCGATCAGACATGACTGGGTGCTGGTTTGCAATTGTAGAGATTGTGAGCGTAATTATAACTAACTAATCATTTACCTTCATTGTTGTCAATTGTTGGTGCAAAAGCCCTATTGTGTCCAGTGTCAACTATTAGTAGCACAAGAATGTTGACCGTCAGTCCTCCAAAACCCAAACATTCACATGTGTATGCCTTGTGGTTCAATGTGAAACACCTACGACTCTTGATAAAACAAATAGAGCCATTAAGATAATAATTTCCCTTGTATTCCTGCTGGGGTTCTCTTGAGTTTGTGCTGTTTAAGTAACTTGCAAAATACTGTCAAGGCTCTGCCAGGCTACATGCTGCATGATTCCAACTCTACATTCTGAAAAGGCAAAACTGTGGAGACAGATCAGTGTTTGCCAAGTGTCGGGGAAGAGAGGGAAGGATGAGCTAAGACCATGATAGGCTCAGACTAGGGGTCCTCAGCCTGGGTACCACGGACATCTTGGCTGGGTCGTTCTTGGTGGGGGAGTGGTCATCCCCACAGACATCTTGGCTGGGTCGTTCTTGGTGGGGGAGTGGTCATCCTACACCCTGGAGGATGTTTAGCAGCGTCGCTGGCACCTACCCAGGAGATGCCAGTAGCACCCCCAGCCCAGTTATAACAACCAAAACTGTCTCCAGACATTGCCAGATGTCCCTGGGGGTCAAAATCACCCCGAGTAGCAGCCACTGGCCTCATTCTACCAACCACCACCAGAAAGACATCAGTGCAGAGACAAGTGTTTCCTTGATCCAAGACAAATTAATGGAGGGAAAGAGAACCACACAGGAAAGAAGCAGGGGCAGAAAACACAGGAATGGAAGAGCGTAGCGGTGCGGAGAAGGAAGGATGGACGAGCCACCTATGAAGCGCGAAGGAGGCAGAGGCAAGGACTGAGGCAGAAATCCAAGGGCGACGGCACTTGTGAAGAGCTGGAGTGGTCTGCGGAGGGGCGTCTTCAAAGGGTACGGGTCTTATTCACTATTCCTTATTGCCATTATTTATGACATGGTGGTGGCACGTGGAAATTCACTCTGTCACTAATCTTTAACGATGCAAGTTGTGTACGTAGGTAGGCGTATCTCACGAATTAAAATGAAAAGATTCTCAGTGAGAATGTTCCTTGGTCCAGCCACTGTGCTGGCTCTGTACTCACGCTAGTAATGGCAGTACTTGTCCTGCCTGGCAGTTCTCGCCACATCAACTAGCCTGCATTAAAAGCCTGGGGAGGGGTGCGACGGGAAGGGGTCTGGAGGGAGAAGAGATAAAATGCAATGCAAAGAAAGGAGATGAATGAGAGGATAAGAAAGATATGGGATTAAGGTGATGGGCAGAGGACACACCACCTTCAGTCCCTCAGCCCTCCTCCGTGACCCAGTCAGGTCTGCCTACAAGACCCTTCAAGGCAAGAGAAATGTTGAAGATGCTTCTGTACAACAATTCCACCGGCCACTTCATTCACCAAACACAAAATACACAAGCTACTCCTTGAGCACCTTGAACGTGACTTGCAGTGCCCAGGGAATGGTACACAGAGAAAGGTTAGATCGTTTCTCCCTGCATTGGGGGTTTACCATCTACTCAAGAAGATTCAGCGACAAACCATGCAGACAAGAAGCAGTTCAGAGAAGCCCATCTAGAAAGACCACCCTGGGTGGTACAGGCCAAGCCAGTACCACAGCATTAGTGGGAGATGAAGGTCTTAGCAGCCAGGAGGCCCCCAAAGGCCCACAGGAGGCGAGACCCAGGCCCACAGCTTTGACACAGAGTGGAGGAGGGGAGAGGTATGCAGAGCCAGAACAGCCCGGCAGACAGAGGAGAGCTGGCACCAGAGCTGGTGGGGCAGATGGGCCACCGGAGGAGGCAAACCCAAAACTCGGGCTCCATTAGAGGAAATAAATGCAAAAAGGGTCCTACTTGAGGTGCATGCTGGCCCCGACGGGGGTTTGGGCTGCATGAGGATGATGGGTGTCGAGGTGTGCGTCTGAACCCTCGGGGCGTACTGGGGCACTGCGGGCGGGTAGTACTGAGCCGGGTACCCCGCGTAGGCACGGTGCGCCATGGGCGGCGGCGGAGGGTAGAGGCTTTCGGGTTGGAATCCATGGTTCTCATAGTAAGGCCCGACACCTGGTGGTGACCCCTGAATGATTAAAAAGAAGATGAATGACACAGCATTGTAAAGCAGCTATACCCCACTAAACATTTTTTTTAAAAATTAAAAAAGAAGATGAATGATACAAAACCCTAATTATCCTAAAGGTTAAATGTACACCCCATCACACTCAGACAAGACACTGGGACAGCGCTGCCGATTCTTTTTTTTTTTACATCTTTATTGGAGTATAATTGCTTTACGATGGCGTGTTAGTTTCTGCTGTATAACAAAGTGAATCAGCTATACGTATACATATGTCCCCATATCCCCTCCCTCTTGCGTCTCCCTCCCACCCTCCCTATCCCACCCCTCTAGGTGGTCACAAAGCACCGAGCTGATCTCCCTGTGCTATGTGGCTGCTTCCCACTAGCTATCTATTTTACATTTGGTAGTGTATATATGTCCATGCCACTCTCTCACTTCGTCCCAGCTTACCCTTCCCCCTCCCCATGGCCACTCTCTATGTCTGCGTCTTTATTCCTGTCCTGCCCCTAGGTTCTTCAGAACCTTTTTTTTTCTTAGATTCCATATATATGTGTTAGCATACGGTATTTGTTTTTCTCTTTCTGACTTACTTCACTCTGTATGACACACTCTAGGTCCATCCACCTGACTACAGATAACTCAATTTCATTTCTTTTTATGGCTGAGTAATATTCCATTGTATATATGTGCCACATCTTCTTTATCCATCCGTCGATGGACACTTAGGTTGCTTCCATGACCTGCCTATTGTAAACAGAGCTGCAATGAACATGGTGGTACATGACTCTTGCAATTATGGTTTTCTCAGGGTCTATGCCCAGGAGTGGGATTGCTGGGTCAGTGCTGCAGATCCTTTTAGGGCATCTTTAATTATGCCAATCACTGAACTCACATAGAATGAAAACTCACCAGCGTTTCCAATTAATTGGCAATAGTTTTTGGGTTTGTTTGTTTGTTTGTTTACTATTCATCTTTTGAAATAAAGAAAAAAAAATGGCTGACATTGAGACTGAGTAAAAAAATGTGTAGAAGTCTGGGAATGAGACAATACCCTATCACCTGAGAGTGGGCTACAAAGTTATGGACTAGCAATGCCAGAATTATAATGAGAATAATAAGAGCTGACATTCGAGAACTCACCTGCTTCGGGCATCTGTATTCATGCCCTCCTTGAAGCGTGACCATAACCCCCTAAGATGGTACAGCTGTGATGGATATACCCATTTTGCAGACAGGAACGTGAGTGACAGAGATTTAAAAATCTACCTAAAAGATTTACAACCGGGGCGGTGGCTAGCAGATCTGCTCCCACGAGCATCTTTCTAGGGCACATGCGTTTATGTTGAGAGTTTGCAGAGTTCAGCAGCTCCGTCCTTGTCAGTGGAATTTCTGGGACACAGTGTGTACACGCACAAATGTGGAAGCGGGGGCCCAGCTACTCCATTTCCCTCTCAGCTCCATCCTTTGGCTGGTTTCCATCTTCTTAGAATACCCTCCCCTCCCCCTCTGCCTACTTAAAAATTGCCCTCTCCAGGCCCTGCCCCCCATTGGACACTCCGGACCCCAGCAGCCTGCCACCTTGTCCTGCGTCAGCCCCCCTGAACCGCCCACTGGCTGGGCCACTCTGGGAGCCACACTTGCCCTCTTATCTGAGTGTCCACATGCAACACTCCTGCCCACTCAGTAATTTGTCCCCTTGCTCCTTGTTGACTGAGAGTTCAGAGAAGACCAGTATTCTGAGCAGAGGCGACTAGATGCTGAGAATTTTAAACAGGGCCTCCAGGGCAGCATGATTAGAAAGCAATGGGCCGAATGCGAGTTTAATAACTCACCAACGCGCTCCTTCCAAAGTCCAAAGATTACCCTTGAAACCAGAGCAGTAACAGAAAGGGAATACGAAATGTAATCTCTCATCTAAATGGGGGAACCAGAGGCCAAAAAGCGGCACAGGCGTTTGGCCTCTATCTGAAGCATCTAAGAACGTGCCGTCCTTCCCAGGAAAGGTGGGAGCAGTCACGGCAGTTCGGCCCAGTGAATTCCTGTGCTGTGGATTTAAAATTTAAAAAGGCTCTAATATAAATAAATACATAATACTAAATAAAGGGGCAGGGGAAGCAAACGTCTGTTTTCCGGATAGAAAGAAGAGAGAGAAGAATTTTGTCATTAACCAGTAGAATAGCTACTAAATGCACTATTCCCAGGTTTAAGACGATGAGTGAGATGCGACGGGGAATAAAGATAGTGCATTTGTCTCCAAAGAGTATGTGTTGTGGGGGGAAAGGGTCTCAGGGAGAGGGGCAGCCAGCCCAGTGTCCCACACAGCCATAGCCTGTGCCAGGCTACCAGGAAGCAAGGCGACTCTGTGCTCTGCTGGCTGGCGGTATCCCAAGCGCGCTTTTCTCCCCAGGACTCACTCCCTCTCACCACTGTCCTGCCTCTATCTGTCCCCACACCCTCACCCCTGTCCCCTTGCCCCACCCCAATCTGAGCAGGAAGAGAAGAGGCCCAGGGGAGAATCACACATCCACACCCCCTCCGAGAGCTCTGAGACTTCCCGCTATGCAGCTGTCACATGGCTCCCCCCGCCCAGCCCCTGCTCACCCCTCACCCCAAGAATGCCTTCACAGCATCCAGGGAGCAAAGGCAGTCTTGCAAGCAGGACTTAAAATGCCGACTCACACACATAGCTGGAAATAACAGAAGGAACCGGGAACAGAGGAAAGGCCAGGAAGGTAATGATTAACCACTTACTGAGTTTAAAGCCATCCTGATTTTATCAGCAGCATCAGGTAAAGGGAGGTATTTGGAACGTCCAAGCTGACCTAGAAGAAACAACGACAAGACTGTGCTATTTCCGTACTGGTGAGTTTGCACACGATGAATCGAGAATGCAGTAGAAGGATCACCTCTCGCCAGAGCCACGGCGGTTCTGCCCGCTCACCTTTGCCTTCACCTCACCACCTCCTCCTGCAGCTGCTCATCCTGAAGAAGACGGGGACCCACTTGCTTGTTAAGTTCAGGGCCTGCGGCACTCACCCAGCTCCCACTTGGAAGCCCAGACTTCCCCGACGTCACCTCCACCAAAAGGAGAATCCAGGAAGAGAGAAACGTGCACAGGGACTTATAGACTGTTGAGTCGGGTGGCGGGGAAGGAAGGCAAAAATCCGGGTCAACTCCTGACAGTGCCACACCCTGAGGTGTCCTTGGGCGACTGACCTCTCTGAATCTCGGACAGAAGCGGACGCAACCATCATGCTGGATTGCTCAAGTGAGGATTTAACGCGAGGGCACAGGCAGACACCTCATGTGCCCAGGCCATGGCAGGGGTGATAAGACCCTGCAGAGCATCCACTGGGACAATGGAGCAACCACCATCCCCAGCGTGGAGCAGGTGGTCTAGAGCTTAGACCCACATGGAGGCCACACCTGACTTTTCAAATAATCCATACAGAACTGCCCCAACCTTAATAAACAAATATATTTAGAAATTCCATAAACACATCCATACTGGGCTTCCCTGGTGGTGCAGTGGTCGGGAGTCCGCCTGCCGATACAGGGGACACGGGTTCGTGCCCCGGTCCGGGAAGATCCCACATGCCGCAGAGCGGCTGGGCCCGTGAGCCATGGCAACTGAGCCTGCGCATCCGGAGGCTGTGCTCTGCAACGGGAGAGGCCACAACAGTGAGAGGCCCGCATACCGCAAAAAAAAACAAACAAACAAACAAACAAAAAACACATCCATACCTGCCTGCTACTCCACTCACTAACCCAAATCCAGAAAAGAAAGAAGTTTAGAACTAACCATTTGGGTGGTTTCTAAGGATATCGGTCATGAAAAGAAAGCCCTGGGTCACCTTGTTTTCTGACATTTGTGAACAGTAGTTATCTAGAAAGACCATCAACATAAAAAGTTTTATAGTAAAGGCTTATCTGACATCACTCTTCCCATCAGAAGCAAAGAATGGCCTTTGTCCACCACCCCTGGCTGCCCTGAATTGACCAAACAATACTCCAAGAAACGGCCTTCACAATCACGCCTCCACAGGACCCCATCCACAGTGAGAAAGCTCTGGGTTTCAGAGCTGGCCAGATCAGGTCTGATCATTTTTCATCTGTAAAGTGCCCGGCACACAGCAGATGCAGACAGCACGATGACTAGACTCTGGATCCAAACCCCAGCTCAGTCACTCACTACCTGGGGTGAGTGACCTGGGGCCACTCAGTTAATGTTTCTGGGCCTTGGTTTCCTTGTCTGCAAAAGGGGTTAACAGTAGCACCCACTACAGGGCTGTTAGGGGGGTAAAGTGAGTTGATAAAGAAGCTCTTAGTGCCTGGAACACAGGAAGTGCTACATACGCTTCCCTGGGGGCGCAGGGGTTAAAAATCCGTCTGCCAGTGCAGGGGGCACGGGTTCAAGCCTTGGTCCGGGAAGATCCCACATGCCACAGAGCAACTAAGCCCACGAGCCACAACTCCTGAGCCCGTGCTCTAGAGCCCGTGAGCCACAACTACTGAGCCCGTGCTCCGCAACAAGAAAAGCCACCGCAATGAGCAGCCCGCGCACCGCAATGAAGTAGCCCCCGCTCGCTGCAACTAGAGAAAGCCCGTGTGCAGCAACAAAGACCCAACACAGCCAAAAAAAAAAAAAGTGATCATAAAGCTGATAAACGTTGAACAGGCCACAGAGGCAGGATGGGCCTGATCGGTCGCAGTTGCAGATTTACATCTGGAAAGGGTGCTCAAGATACCAACTCCACCGGCTCTGAAAATCCAATGGAGCCAAAGGCAACAGAGCCAGCTCCTGCCGGGCACTGCGTGACTCCAGAGCGAAATTATTCTCTGACTCATTACATTAGAAAAAGAAAACCCTGGGGACATATGTAAATGTATAGCTGATTCACTTGGTTATAAAGCAGAAGCTAACACACCATTGTAAAGCAATTACACTCCAATAAAGACATTAAAAAAAACCCAACATTAACTTGCTATAAATAAAAATATAAGTATGGCTGTTTAATCTCAGGAAACCTCGTTGAACAAGTCACAAGAAAGATGCAGCAGATCATTTATTTACTCTTCACGCAAAGATAAAATAAAAGAACCAGTTTGTACTGATAGCTTTAAGATTTTTTTAAGATTTAAAAAAAGAGTCAACAATTTTCCGAGCACGAGGAAATAAATCTGAGCGATATACAGGAGGAAGAGATCACCATTCAGAATATATATGACGTTTAAGCCTTTAAGTGGGTGTGATTATCACATATTAATAACCTTTCCTACATCGTCTGCTCTGTAAAGAGAGAGGGTTCTGAGACTTGACAGCAACACAATATCCTCTAGTCTAAGCAGGAAAAGCTCGCACCTTCCTCGCATTAGTTTCAGGCGAGTCCTGCCCCAGAGAACATTCTCACCCCTGGTTTCTCTGCCCTCGGTGGCAGTCACTCCCTGTGCCTCTGAGCTATCTCGCCAGTTATAGGGTTGGTTGAAGTTTCAGGAAATGAAAATTTGAGCCCACTGGCGGCTTTCCCAGTTTAAGAGCCCTCTGAAAGGAGTGATGAATCAATGCCTGAAATCCACGCTCCCTATTCATTCAATATCCCTAACAGCGGGAGACTAGGAAGCCAGGAGCTCCAGGGGCACCGGGAGCCGAGGCCGGGAATTGTCCCGTAAAAGCCCAGGACCCAGAAGTAACTGCAGCACAATTCTATCTCACCCAGCGATCCCACGGCCCACAAACCCTTAGAACCCAGAACATCAAGCGTGCCCAGATCGGCTGCATGGACTTTGGAAGGAAAGACGAGAGTCGTGCCACCTCTAACTCTCTGTGGCCAAAAACAAAGGAAGGGGGAAATGTCTCCCTCGGGAACTGGACCTGACGGGAGACGCACTGCTGTCTAAAAGGACCAGGAGATCACGTTCCACGTGGTTCATCTTCGAAACAGGCAATTCCACGCCCACACAAGATAGTAAATCTCTTTAACTGGTTTCTGAAAGGAGCAAGACAGCCCAGATGGTGAGAGACAACACCGCTTCTCCAGTGTTCTTTCCTGTCAGCTAAAGGACACAGCTGATTGCCCTGGATTCCAGAAAGCCAGCCTCAATGAAGCACTTCTCCTTGAAGCGACAAAGGACAAAGGGCATGTGTGTCAAAGCTTGGTCCCCTTCTTTGTTCCCAGTGAGGTCCCGCTCCAACTTCACCCACTTGAGTCACACAACAGCGCACGGTTGTCCCGGGCCACCCCGGGCTCTCCTTTCAGAAGGCTGACTCATGCCTCGAGTCACCTGCCCGGCCACCACTCAACAGGATGGTGCCGTGGAATCCTACCAGCTTCCCACGAAGTAATGAAGCTATTTCCAAACAAGAAGAGCCTCTCCTTATACTGTAGTGTCTTTCCTCTGGACCTCAGAACGCACTTGCTGGAGGTTTATTTTGAAAACTACCAAACCAATGCAAATGAGGTCAGCCTCATAGATACTGACCCCCATCTGGGGGTCAGGGGTTTTCCCTATAATGAAGGCTCCACTGACTTTCCCCCGACACACCATTCACATAGGGGCTCCTGCACTGGGCCCCGCCAGGTACCTTCGAGATGCTGGTGGTGTGATGAGGTGTGATGGGTGAAAGAAGCTCCACCTCCCTTGACCTCAGTTTCAGTATCCCTTCTGCAAACTCCAAAGCAAGCAACACCAACAGACACTCCCTATCCGATGATCCATGACCAGTGGAACCCCTTATGCCTCAACCACTGCACAAAATCACCTTACGTGTAAAGATGTTTTCGTGTCCTGTTGGAGACAAAATGCACTGTTAGAGGGAAGGTAACAGACTGTGGTGGATTTAACTAACAGTTCAACATAAACAAGTATAGACCATCAGCAAAATGGCACACACTGTGATTGACACAGGAATGACAGAAAGAGGGAGAGGGAGAGAGAGACAGCAATTCAGAAGTACTGCCTGCATCACCAAGTTTCTTTTTCTATGAATGCCTCATGGTCCAAATGAGATTACAAACTTTTTAGGGCAGGAATTGGGTCTGGTTCTTTTTTTTTTTTTTTTTTTCAAATCTAGCTTTGTACCATACAAAGGAAACATTGCCATATATATATATATTTGCATTCCAAAGGCCAAATGAGTAAGATGAAATTTGAGAGAGAGTGCCGGAAAGCCGGCACCTGGACAAAAACAGCCTCCAAATTGAGGATGTGGGTGACCTCACACGTCCAGGTGTACAGAGCTGACTGCATGCCGAGTACGACAGACAGGCCAGAGAGGTGTCCCAATCCCTCTAGGAGGGAGGAGGCCTCAACAAAGTGCAAAAGCCACTGCCTAAGGTTTGAAGAACTTGCCCGAGTCAATCTGTGAAATGGGCATAACACGTCAATGGGGTTTTTGCCAGGATTAAGTGTGTACGTGTCCTAGCACCGTGCCCTTCACATGATGAGCCCTCAGGAATAACATAATGATAGCAGCTAAGGGACTGCTGGGTGGAAAGGGGACTCAATATTTTTCTGTGAAAATCCAAAGGAAGAATCCAGGATCAAAATGGTCAGAAACATCAGGAAGGCAGATTTAACTCAATCCAGGGAAACCAAGTTTCCAACAATGAGAACGTTTCAATATCGACTGGGTTGCCTTGGAAGAAAACAGTTCCTCAAACCAAAAAAAAAAAACTTTGATCCAACACTGGAAGGTCGTTTCTCCAGCACATTCTAGAACCAAATTAGGCTTCAGTTGCGAGGCCAGACATGACGATTTTTATTCTTTTTGATAGGAAATGCAAAGGATAAACTCCAAACGCATCCCTAGAAAACACAGGCTCCATGTGCCCCATGTACAGATCAAGTCTCCAGTGAGCCCTGCCAGGAGGGCCCCTCGGGAATCAAGGACCTTAAAGGGATTCTGACATGGGGTCACATACAAACAAGTAATCACAAAGCCTGGGCTTAGTCTCGTCTTCCAGATCAGAGCTCACTAGAAAATATTTGTCTAACAAACGTCCACTGGAAGACCACGGTTTCTCTTCCCAGGCCTACTTGGTTGATCTCCCAATGATTCTGTCCACTCTGCCCTTGCATGAATTTCTAGACTTCAGCTGGTGCCTTTCAAACATTTCCTTCTTTCATATCACACTTCTGTACCTTCACCCCTCCCGCACCCTACCCCGCCCCACTGATGCCATATCACACTTCTGTACCCTCACCCCTCCCGCACCCTACCCCGCCCCACTGATGCCTGATGGTGCACACAAACTAAAGGCCTGCAGTCTCTCCCCACAGCAAGTCCTTCCCTCCTTCTCCTTGACTTGCCTCTAACAGGAGCAAAAAGCCTGTCCTTGGGTCACCTTCCCTCTTCAAAATCCAGTTTACAGTCCAAGGAACTGCCCGCACCCTCACCAGAATTTCAGCACCTGCCATTCTCCCTGGATGCCTCTAAGGCTGCCCGTGACATTTTGCACGCTCCCAATTCCTCTTCTCCCGACCGCTGTCCAGTGGCCAGGGCAAACCAAGTCCTAGGTCACCTGCCCTTCCTCCTGACCTCAAGCTCTGTCTCTGGCTTGTTCCCTGGACAAACGGCCGAGCCCTTCGCTACTCCATGTGCTGTTGGGACCAGGATGGTCAATGGCACAGGGGGCACCCGGAGTCCCCTCCCACACACCCAGGCCTACAGCCCCTGAGGACTTGCAAGCCAGGGTTCCCCAAGATGGCCTACATATAGGGCTCCCCATCCCCGAGCTAGGAAGGGACTCACCAAGCCTGGCCCAATTCACATCTCAGCACTCAGGTGTGTGACACCCTTGCTCCCTATACCCAGAGGCCACTTAGCTTGTCCTGGGGCTGGCCCAGTGGCAGAGGTCCCCTGGCAGGTGCCCTGGAAACTAAAGAGGGACCAGGAAGGGCAGCAGAGGCTCAGCAATTTTGGGAAAAGCAGTGGCACCCCAGGAGACCCAGAGCTGTGAGAGCGGCAGAGGGCAGGTGAGTATGTGGGACTTGAGTGCCCCTTCTCTGTCCCCCACTCAAGCAGGGCCAGCTTCCCCTCCTTAGGTAAGCGAGGCTGACCAGACACTATGTTGAGCCAGTCGCCTTTCCTTTCTACTTCCCTGCCTAAGGCTCAGGCATGACCCCTGGTTCCCAAGCCTGGAACTTTCTGGGGGGCTTAGAAAAAATAGATTTCCTGTTCCTTCCGAGTCTGATGCAGCAGTTGAAACCAAGGCAATGACCCCAAATGGTTACAAAGCCCCCCAGGACTCCTGCCCCAGGCTTAGGTGGAAAAGAGTGACAGACACCAGCCCGGAGCCCTGGCTTGCACATCCTGATAGACCCCCGTGCCCCCAGGCCAGGCCCAGAGTCGCAGTCAGTATGCTTACAGGATGATGACAATGACAACCGACATAATGTCCTTCGTGTGTCTAGGCTTCATTGCCTGCAAGACATTTTCACCCTTGGCCCCATCACTCGGGTAGGTCAACCCTCTGCACTGCCCCAGGCTCTCCTGCCCAGGTCACCCCGGAAGCGGGCAGCATGGAGCCCAGGTGGGGCTCTGCTCCTGGATTATGGTGAAGCCAGCCTGGCTGGCGAGCAAGCCCCTCTCCCACGAGGGGTCCAGGCATCGCTCAGCTCCCCTGGAGCCAGGTGGCCTGCCTGCATCCCCAGTTCTCCCTACAGGACCTGGGGCCTGGAGCAAGTTATGTCACCCCTCTGCCTCAGTTTCCTCTCACCTGAGTTAAATACATCATAAAGAGCTTGGAATGATGCCTGGCTGGAAGAAAACGCCACATCCACTTTTGCTGTTATCATGACAACACCAGTGCGGCCCAACTTTCTCCTACAATTAAGGCAACTGAGCCCAGGCTGCGAGGGGGCCAAGCTCCACGCCATCTCCCGGGCTCTGTAGGCTCCCGGCAGCTACACAAACTTGCTAGAAGACCGACCTTGGAGGCGTCAATAAGAAAGATGTTGCTGGGGACCAAACAGACTGGGAGTCATGAGAAAGTCCCCTGCTGCTCACCAGGTCATATTTTTCAAAGCAGAGAGGGAGGTGTGTCCGCGGCCAATCTCCAGGCAGAGGCCGCCACCGCAACTCCCGGACTCCTGTGTTGAGTGCTTGCTGGTGCCCCCTGGCCTTTCAACCTTGACCCAGGGGTCCAGTAAGCTTGGCCGGGGTGGGGAGACGCAGGCCTGCCCCGCCTCTGGTGAAGCTGAGAAAGGGGAGCATCCCTTCAGTGATCCCCCGGGCCCCCCCAACCCCCCTACCTCACTCAGCAGCAGCAGCGCCTGGCCCCCAGGTCCCCTGGTTGTGCAAGCCCTGTGCACACTCCCAGCCCCCATTCTCCTCCGGGTGCGGTGGGGTGTCAGCTCCATCCTCGCTTCCTGGAGAGCCTTCTCCGACCTCCCAGGCTAAGTCAACAGCCCTCCCCTCACGTCAGGTTTTCTAAACACCTTGAAACTCTCCTTAGCAGCCTTTGTAATTTTCCGTCATTTGTTTGGCTCTCTGCAGCCGTGAGCGCCAGCAGTGCCTGGACGCACTGGCGCCCCGGGCGGGCCCCCTACCGTACTTGGCCCGGGGACTACCGCGCGGGCTTCAATCCGGGTGGGCTTCGCAGGCTGGAGGCAGAGCCCTGGGACACCCCAGCCCTATAGGCAGACCTCGGGTCGCGATCTTTTCCCTCCCAAACGATCCACTGGGATTCCACCTGACAGGCCCGCCTCCTCCTGGGCGTCTGAAACGGAATTGAAACGGATTCGGGATTCGGGATCACGGCGCTGTGCCCTTCAGCGGGGCGGGCCCTTCGCAAAAGCCCGGGCTCAAGCCACTGCCGGCGGCCACCTACAACCAGGCCCTCTGGGGCCTGGAAGCACGCAATTTGGGGCCATAAGGCAATTCTTCCGCAGGGCCCACGAAGCCGCGATAAGGGCGCACACCATCTGGCTGGCGCTCTCAGCCTCCCGGCCCCGGTCCGGGGTCCTGCCGTGAACCGAAGCGCCCGGGTGCCTGGCCTTGTTCCTGGCAGGGAGCGTGCGCCTAGAGACCAGGACCACTCCTCCCGGGGCAGGGGTGCCCGGTGTCCGGGCGGCCCAGCCCTGATCGTCGCCTCCGGGTCGCCGCCGTGGGGCTCGGGCTGTGGGCAGTGCCTTCCCGGGGCTACCGAGCCGTTAGCACCTCGCCCGGGGGCCCTGCGGGCCTGTCCCCGCCGCGCCGGCCGTATCGCTCCCGGCATCTCAGAGAGTTTCCAGTTTCTCCCTACTCTGGGAGGCAACCAAGAAGCAGGAGTTCAGGTAACACTACGGGGCTGCAGAGATTTTCCCAAAACAAAGAAGAGGAGGGACAAGTCTCCCTCTTCCTCGTCCCCAAAGGGAAAAGGCGCACCCCTCGTCCCCAGCTCGGGGCCCAGAGGACAGGGCAGCGGGAGCCGACTTCAGCCGATGGGACGCACCCCGAGGGACCCCGTGGCACGCCTGTCTCCTACCAATTGGCTTAGGACCCGCAGGGCGACCTGTCCCGGGCGACTGATGCCAACGGGGCAGCCGGGGGCCTCTGACCCGCGCACCAAGGCGTCCCAGGCGCGCGCAGCCCTCCTGACCTCACGCAGGTCACTTTGCTCGGCTCAGTCCCGTGCGTCCCGCGGGCGGGAGGACGCACCTGCCGGGCAGGAGCTGCTCACACCTGGCTTCATCTCCCGCTGCTCCCACCCAGCGCGGGGGGCGCCCAGGGCCTCCCTCGCGCCCTGGACCCCCAGCCCCCGCCCCCGCCCCCTCCCAGAGAGCCCACCGCGCGCGCCGCTCACCTGCGGAGCTCGGGGCCCGGCGCTCCCCGCCCCTCTGCCTTCCTCCCCTCCTCCGCCTCCTCCGGAGTCCCCGATCCTCCCCGGCTCTCGCTTTAATCCGGGAGGCGGTGTCCGAGTGGCCAGGGTGACACCCCCAAGCGCCGGTCCCGGGTCACCTCGGGCAGGGGGAGGGGACGAACCGGAACGGCAGTCCCGGGCGAGGCTGGTCCGGGCGGGGCGGCAGGAGGAGGGGTTTCTTCCTGGGAAAGCCCGGGACGCGCTCTCGGCGGGACCCAGAGGGAGCCCGGGGACGCTTCCGTCCCCAGCCGGCCTTTTAGGGTTGGGGAGGAGCGCATCTCCCTCCCCACTTCCCCTGGACCGAGCCGGTGGCCGGCGCTTCGCGCCCGAACACTCAAGTCTGGATTCAGGAAGGAGATTCTGGGCAGTGCTGACCGAGTCTCGTACGACCCGGCCAAGCCCTGGCGCTGGGGACCCGCTTGACCTCTGTGCCCTCGGAGAGGACCCAGGAGTGTGCTCCCAAGGGCCGCTGGCCCGGACACTAGAGCCCAAGACGCAGCGCTCCTCGCCGAGCACCCTCCCCAGTCCTCTTGGGCGGCTCTTCTTTGCCTTCAGGTCCCAAGTCCCTCCCCCTCCCTCAGTACGTCCCCAAGAGTGGCTTGAGGTCTTCCCGCCCACCTAAGGCAAGAGACAGGGGGTGAGGAAAGAGGGTAAGATAAATCTTGCCTCTTTTTAAGAGGCTCTTTTCAATGCTGTTTGCAATACGCAGATTAACGTGGATTGCTTTAGAATCAGGTAGAAGCAGAAGAAAGCCCAATTCATTCCAAGTCACATGCTGTGTTGGTTCAGCACTACTTCCTGAGCAGGTGACCTGGGACTGGACTTTCCTAGTAAGTTCTTTCCACCCTCTCCTTTGGCTCCCATCCTTATATCCACAACAGGAGACCATCCTGCATATGCCCCAGCCCTTCCCATCTCTCTCCCATCACTGGTGTCCGTGTTGTCCAAGTAGAAGACCCTTAAGTACCGTCTCCAGCAGATAGGTCAGGTCAGGTGGTCTTCTGGTGGCGACGCACATATTTCTGTTTTAAATAGCATAATTGGAGCCCTCTGGGAATGGCACCATTGTTCCTGCAAAACCCAATGTCCACCTACACACCAGGTGGTATGTGTGTCTGTACCTTCATCCCTCTTGTGGTTGTTTTCTCACTATTCATTTTCCCTTCTTTGGGCAACTTTCCCGAACTTTTGTTGGAGTTTACACATCCCCCAGGAGCAGATCACCGGCTTGGGGAGCCAACTCCACCCCACTGCTAGAGGGGAGCACGTGGCCAGTGTCTGGCTCAGCAGCTGAATCCCATCCCTGCCCGAATTCGTGCTACAGGGAGAACACACAACCAACTTTTGGCCAGTGAGACTTGGAAGAGAGGGTTTCGGAGGTTTGGGGTCAGGGTGGGGAAGCTGGTATTTTTTTACTCTTCTGCTGGAGCTTCCAGAGACCCTCTTCCTTGTGCTTGGAGGAAGAAGAAGCAAGTAGTCACAGGAAATGTTGATAGCCATCTTTCCATCACCAGGGAGCTAGTACCAGGATGAAGATAGCTTCTCCCCCAAAAAGCACAGCATACACTTCACACCAGTCAGAATGGCCATCATTAAAAAGTCTACAAATAACAAATGCTGGAGAGGGTGTAGAGAAAAAGGGAACCCTCCTACACTGTTGGTGGGAATGTAAATTGATACAGCCACTATGGAGAAAAGTATGGAGGTTCCTTAAAAAACTAAAAATAGAGCTACTATATGATCCTGCAATCCCAATCCTGGGCATATCTCTGGAGAAAACTCTAATTTGAAAAGATATATGCTCCCCAATGTTCATTGCAGCACTATTTACAATAGCCAAGACATGGAAACAACCAAAATGTCCATTGACAGATGACTGGCTAAAGAAGATGTGGTGCATGTATACAATGGAATATTACTCAGCCATAAAAAAGAATGAAATAATGCCATTTGCAGCAACATGGATGGACCTAGAGATTATCATATTAAGTGAAGTAAGTCAGAGAAAGAGAAAGACAGATATCACATGATATCACTTATATGCAGAATCTAAAAAAATGGTACAAATGAACTTATTTACAAAACAGAAATAGATTCACAGACATAGAAAACAAACTAAAGGGGGTAGTGGGGTGAGGGAGATATAAATTAAGAGTTTGGGATTAACATATATAGACTACTATATATAAAATAGATAAACAGCAAGGACCTACTGTATAGCACAAACTCAATATCCTATAATGGAAAACTATATATATATATATATATATATATATATATATATAAGTGAATCACTTTGCTGTACACTTGAAACTAACAGAACTTTGTAAATTAGCTATACTTCAATTTAAAAAAAACCCACAGGGCTTCCCTGGTGGCACAGTGGTTGAGAATCTGCCTGCTAATGCAGGGGACACGGGTTCAAGCCCTGGTCTGGGAAGATCCCACATGCCGCGGATCAACTAGGCCCGTGAGCCACAACTACTGAGCCTGCGCGTCTGGAGCCTGTGCTCCGCAACGAGAGGCTGCGATAGTGAGAGGCCCGTGCACCGTGATGAAGAGTGGCCCCCGCTTGCCACGAGAGAAAGTCCTCGCACAGAAACGAAGACCCAGCACAGCCAAAAGTAAATGAATAAATTAAAAAAAAAATAGAAAAAAGAACAACCCACAGCATAGAGATGACAAGAAACCCAATTCTTGATGACAGCATTGAACAACTGAATCCAACCAGCTCTGAAGCTAAGCACCCTTTACCACATCTTCCATGAACACAAGTGGAAATCAGAATTCTCGACCAAGGGGAGTAGCCATAATACAATGAAAGCAAAACAATATTATTATAGGTTAAAAATAAGTAGCAGAATTCTGCTCATGGCAATGTGCAGGCTAGATATCCTGAAATAATGCTCTTACTACAAAATAACCAAAAGGGCTTGATAGAATATATATTGTTACTATTCTTTAAAATTACAGCTGATTTTGCAAGAAAACTTGGAAAATACTCAGACACAAAAGTGAAACGGGAGCAGATGTGCAGGGAAGTCGGGGGCGTGGCAGGCATCCTGAAATCACCTAAATACCTCTAGTCCTGCAGAGTTTTGTGGGCAGGGGGTGGGGTGAATGACAAACGAAGTCACAGACCTCAGCAAGGTGGGAGGTTGCTAGGATACCACAACGTCAACACCCCAAAGCCCCATACCCTCAGAAAAAGTATGATTAAAAAATAATTGTATCTACCCCACTGATGGGTGATGACTAATAAACTTGTCTATATCTTAGTCCTGGCTCTCAGTGGAGGGGGACTAATGCTCTCCTGAGAATTGATAACTACCAGCAAGCCCTCTTAATGAGAATTTAAGTTTTGAACCCTAATTCCCACTATCTTTGTAGTCAGAAAAACATCAACTCAAGAATTTAATCAAAAGTGGTCCCAGATTGGCAATGTCCCAGGCACATGGCAGAAGCAAACCCATAGCCTCTCTAGTGGAATGCCACTCGTGATGGATAATTTTATGTGTTGACTTGACTAGGCTAAAGGATGCCCAGGTAGTTGGTAAAATATTATTTCTGGGTGTGTTAGTGAGGGTGTTTCTGGAAGAAATTAGCATTTGAATCCATAGACTGAGTAAAGATCTATCCTCAACAATGAGGGTGGACCTCATCCATTTCTTTGAGGGCTTAAATAAAACTAAAACGCAGAGGAAGATCCAGTTTGCTCTCTCTCTCCAACGTGGGACATCCATCTTCTGCTTTCCAACATCAGTGCTCCCGGTTCTTAGACCTTTGGACCCAAACTAAATTATGCCACTGGCTTTCCTGTTTCTCCAGCTTGCAAACAGCATGTTATGAGGCTTGTCTTCCATAATCAGGTGAGCTAATTTCTATAATAATAAACTCACACACATATACACACACACACACATAACATATATCTCTTACTGGTTCTTTTTCCTCTGGAGAACCCTGACTAATACACTCCTCAACCCAGGAGAAATTCCCACACAGTCAATTAAAATGAGCTTAATTGAATTAAAAACAATTAAAATAAGACACCATGAAAAAAATCAAGAAGCATAACAAAATGTGGAATCAGACCAGATATATTGGCGTTATTAGATACAAATGACAGATAAATATGTTTGCTAGGTGAAAAAATAAAGCAGAGACTCTAAAAATGAATGAGAAGCAAGGATTGCTTAAAATTAACAGAATTAGGGGTAAAATACTAAATAGAACTTCTAGAAGCAAACAAACAACAATGTAAATTTTCAATAGCTGAAGAGGGAATTGGTGACTTGGAATATAGACCTGAAGAAATTATCCAAAATTCACATAGAAGGACAAAATTATTTTTAAAAACATATGACAAAGAAGCTAAGTGGTATGGAGAACAGAGGAAGAAGATCTAAACTATGTCTGATTTGACCTCGAAAATGTGAAAATGGAGAGGACAAAGGTAAAAGCAATAATGATTAAATTTTTTTTCCAAAATTGATAAGTCATGAATCCTTCGATTATTGAAGCACAGCAAATTCTGAGAAGAAAAGAGAGGAATCCAGAGTTAAATGTAATATAGTGAAACTGCAGAACTCTTAAAATAAAGAAAAGATCTAAAAACACATCCTGAAGTGAAAGACCTAGCCCCCAGATGGAAGACGGAATATGGTGGAAAAAAAATTCAAAGTGTTAGAAAAAAAATGACTGTCAACCTAAAATGTTATATCCTGTAAAAATGTCCTTCAGGAAAGAGGGAAAAGACATTTACAGACAAACCAAGACAGTGTTGACCACAACAAGGAAACCTGAAAAGGATGAAGTCCAGGAAGAAGAAAAATAATCCCAGAAGGCAAGTCTCACATGCAAAAGGAAACGGTGAGGCAAGAATAAGGTAAAAATGTAAATAAATCTAAACAAATATTGACACCATAAAAAAGCACCACTGATGGGCTTCCCTGGTGGCGCAGTGGTTGAGAGTCCGCCTG